GGCTGGCATGGAAGGGGCGGCGTGGCCGGGCGCGGGCCCGGGGGAGGCCGGCATGGAGGGGGAGGTAGACCTAGGGGAGCCGGGGGCAGGCCCGAGGGAGGGCGGCGGGCCTGGGGGAGGCTGGCATGGAAGGGGCGGCGTGGCTGGGCGCGGGCCCGGGGGAGGCCGACATGGAGGGGGTAGCAGGGCCCGGGGGCGAGGGCGGTGGGGTTCGGTAGGTTCAAGGCCGGCACGGAGGGCGGCGGGCCCGGGGGAGGCGGGGCTCCGTGGGTTCAGGGGCCGGGCGGGGCGGAATGAAACGAAAGGAAGTGGAACGGCACTCGGTTCTCGAAAGTACTGGATCCAGTGCGGGAGGCGCTTTTGACCTAGACATTCTCAAAGGACACCCTTTAACCTAGAAGCGGGCCGAGGCAGAATGTACAGAGCCGGGAGGTTGTTGAAACATCTGGATGTTTTTTTTCCCCTTCTCTTTCTGTGTGCTGGGAATGCAACCCAGGGACTTACTGTTCTATTGACTTTCGACCCCAAGCCATGGCTGTAGCTTGAATTTAGGGCCTCTTGCGCTCCCTTTTCTTTCAGTGCTGGCACTCCCACTACTTGAGTGGATAGTTCCATCTCCAGCCTTGTGGATTTTTTTTTTTTTTTTTGTCGGTTGTGGTGCCTGAACTCTGGGCCTGGGCACTATCCCTCAGCTCTTCAGCTCAAGGCTAGCGCTCTACCACTTGAGACACAGCGCCACTTCCGTTTTTTTCTGCTTATGTGGCACTGAGGAATCGAACCCAAGGCCTCATGCATGCAAGGCACCACTGAGCTAGATTCCCAGCTTCTCCAGCCTGTGTTTTTAAGAAAAGGTCCCAGTATGTAACCCAAGCTGACCTAGAACTTGATATTTTCCTGCGTCATCCTAGTGTTGAGATTTCAGGCAAGCTCCCATTACTTCAAGCCAGTCGCTTTCACTAAATTAGGTTTTCAAATCTGTTGAATGAAATAATCAGACTAGATTTTTCCCCCCCTAGATGACTGTCTGTGGGTTGTTGTTTTTTTTTGTCTTGGTTTGTTTTGGTTAGTCCTGAGCTCAGGACCTGGGCACTGTCCTTGAGCTTCTCTTGTTCAAGGCTAGCACTCTACCATTTGAGCCACAGCACCACTGACTTCCTTTTTGTTTATGTGGTACTTTGGAATCAAACCCAGGGCTTCATGCATGGTAGGCAAGCATTCTACCACTAAACTCCATTCATTCCCAGCCAGTGTCTGCAGGCTTATTTTGGTTTGTTTTGATACTTAGTCTTACTGTGTTGCCCAGGCTAAGCTGGTTCCAGACTCTTACACTCAGGTGATCCTTTCCTGTCAGTCTCTTGAGTACTGAGGCTACATGTATTTCACTATCTACCACCTCTCATGGTATGCTAGCAAGCATTCTACCAGCCGAGGCTCTAGATTCTAGTTCAAGTGGTCCAGAGACTTGCGTGGATAATCTAAAGCCTTGATATCTTTCAATGTAACTCCCTGGAGGTGTTTCTTCCTTTACACGTCATGTCTTGTGACTTTTTTTTTCCAGCCATGGGGCCTGAACTCTGGGCCTGGGTGCTGTCCCTCAGCACTTCAGTTCAAGGCTAGCACTCTACCACTTGAGCCATAGTGCCACTTCTGGCTTTTTTCTTTTTGCTTATGTGGTGCTGAGGAATCAAACCCAGGGCCTCTGGCATACAAGGCATGTGCTCTACTACTGAGCCACCTTCCCAGCCCCTGTTTGTTTTTTAACAGCTTGTTGTGTATCTGTCTTTTGCTGTTTCTGGGGCTTGCCAGTGCCTGGCTGCTGTCCCTGAGCCTCTTTGTGCTCAAGGCTAGCGCTCTACCACTTGAGCCACAGCACCACTTCTACTTGTTCTGAGTAGTTTATTGGAGATAAGAGTCTCAGACTTTCTTACCCTGGCTAGCTTCAAACTGCAATCCTGGCTTTGAACTGCAGTTCTCAGATTTAAGCCTCCTGAATAGACTACGTTATGTGGAAATAATTGAAAAAGCAGGGAAAAGTGATTGTTGCTTGACTATTACAATCTTTATTTATTGATCAATCATGGGGCTTGACCTCTGGGCCTTGGGGCTGTCCCTCAGCTCAAGGCTAGTGCCCTGTCACTTGTGCCACAGAGCTACTTCCAGCTTTTTCTGTGTATGTGGTACTGAGAAGTCAAACCCAGGGTTTCATGCATGCTAGGCAATACGGCCCCTGCAATTTTATTCTTTATGTCCAAGTTATTTGTTGGTCATGGGGCTTGAACTCAGGGCCTGGATGCTGTCCCTGTGTTTTGTTTTTTTGGTGACCTTTCCTGCATGGGCTGGCTTTGAACCACAGTCCTCAGATCTCAGCTTTCCAGACTCCTGAGTAGCTAGGATTATAGGAGGGAACCACCAGTGCCTGGGGTTGTTTTCTCATTACTAAAACCTGTTGAAAGCTGGGCATCAGGTGGCTCACACTTATAATCTTAGCTGTTCAGGAGGCTGAGATCTGAGGATCTCAGTTCAAAGCCAGCCCAGGCAGGAAAGTCCATGAAACTCTTATCTCCAATAAACTACCAGAAAACCGAAGTGATGCTGTGGCTCAAGTGGTACAATGCTTGCCTTGAGCTGAAGAGCTGAGGGATAGCACCCAGGTCCAGAGTTCAAGCCCCATGACCGGCCAAAAAAAAAAAAAAACTGTTGGAAAAAACTTAATGTTTTTGTTTTTTTATTTCACAGCCGTGCCCCTCAGATGAGAGCTGCACCCAGGCCAGCTCCTGCAGCCCAACCTCCAATGGCAGCCCCAGCATCTGCTGTGGCCTCTCCTGCAGCTACTCCCCGGCAGCCTGGGCTGATGGCCCAGATGGCGTCCACAGCCGCTGGTGTAGCTGTGGGCTCTGCCGTTGGGCACACACTGGGCCATGCCATCACTGGCGGCTTCAGTGGAGCTGGTAATGCTGAGCCTGCCAGGCC